AGATGTGTATAAGAACGTAGCGGAGGGGTATTTAGGTATTAGTTTAATACCCTAAACATTTCAAATATATGTTTCCATGCTCTTCCTGTTTCTACAGAATAGCGAAAGTTTAGTATTATTTCGTAGATTTTACATTATAAGTGACCTGGCTTGCGGTTCATAGAAAGGATATTTGAATGGCGCACTCTATTATCCTATTCCTCTATGAGGTGCGCGTATCGGAGAATTCTGTTAATCATTGTGAATATAGGCTGTAGATATGCCCATAGATAATTCACAGGTAAAACATATTTTTCGAACTTACTACGTTTGTAAGAGTATTTATATAGAGTTTGTGATTAAATATAGGTTTTTTTAATAACAAAAAATGTCTATAGTGATGATTTTTTTTAGTAATGAAGAAACTTTGACACAATAAAACATTTCAAATATCTTTATTAGGAGTAAATTTAAAAAAATTGAAAACAATGCTTTTTTTTAAAAATAGAATACCGGTATTGCATATTTCTTAGGTAACGTATGTTTGAAAACTCATTTTAGAATTTTTAAAGGGCTGTAGCTGGGCCATTTTTTATAAGTTTATAACAATGCAGTTCCCCCTGCAATTCGAGACCACTTTGAGACCTGAGAATTTGGGGTTTTCTCGGGTTCAGTCTCCACTTAGAGGGTTATTTGTGTCTTCAAAGATTGATGATTGCTTTTTTGTTCTTGAAAAAGTAGAGCACCTTCAGATGGCCGGAAATGACACTTTTATATAATAAAATTCATCATCACCACATCACCATTATAATAGTCAAAACGAAGCGCCAACGTATTCTCATGAACTTTTATCAGCGATATTCGGCAAATATAGAGATTAAGATGTGTGATGTACCATAGCAAAACAACTTAAAAACATCGTCTTTGATGTATTTACTTTACCTACTTCATGTGTCGAAAACTAATCTTATCTTTACATGCTTTTTCTCATACTTTTTAAATAATAATAAAGGCACGTGCACTCGAGTCGTGTATTATAGGTAATTCAGAATTTTTGTGGGTATCTTGCTATAAAAAAAATGTACTCTGGCTGTACAGCGCTCTTTGGTTAAAACCTGGGTTATTTATGCAGTTCATTTCAACAATTTTCAGGCATCTTCCTGACATGAAATTGAATTGCGGACGAAATGTGAGGGGACCAATTCCCTGTTAAAAATATGCGGGGTGGGGGGGGGGGAGGACGTATACTGCTGACCTGCGCCTGCACGGGGGTTTTGCTTACTGCTTCTTTGATATTATTGAGCGCTTTGTCATATCAGTCCAGAATAAATCAACATCACGATGTGTAAGTTTGCGAAGTGGCTCACATAACTCACTAAGATGCGGAAGAAATTTGCTTAAATACTGAACAAATCCAATGACCCTACTAACACTAGTTTTATCAGTAGGAGTTGACATGTTGGTTATCGCTTCAATTTTTGAGTTTTCAGCTTTTAGATAATCTGAAGTAATTATGTGTCTAATAAACCTAACTTCTTAAGTTCAAGTTTTAATTTTATACTTGTTGAGCTTGAGATTTACTTCTGTGGCAAGATTTGCTAAATTCCATATGTGATCCATCGTGTCACCAGTACCAATGACAATTTTTTTATTAAAGAAAAGAAAGCGCAAAAGAAGCAAATCTGTATATAAGGATACGCTTTTTATACTTACTTTACGCAAGTATACTTCTGTGTATTTGTTTAGTAATACCAAATCTATAACTAGATTGAGAAAAGTAGTCTTTTATACGATTTTGGTTTTTTGACCCTAATGACCGCTGTGTGACATTTTAACCAAAGCGGTGAACACCCCATGTATGGGAGGTGTCACTGGCTATACTGACCTAAGTTGGTTGAAATCGGCTCAACCATTTAGCATTAGTAGCGTTTTGAAATGTTTTTAGAAAAAAGAAAAACATTAACACTTAATGACCTCTGACCCCAAATCCAAAAACACGCTATATACTCTGCTTTTATGCCAATGCATATATGTAAAGGACACGACTGTGCTGTGTTATTTGTGAGAGAATTCTACGATTTTTTTACCCTAATGACCCCCGTGTGTCATTTGATCCCAATCGGTGAAACACCCCATTCATGGGAGGTGTCATCGGTTATACTGACTAAGCTTGGTTGAAATTGGTCCAACCGTTTGGCACTAGTAGGGGCTCCTTAGGAAAGTTTAACCCAGTTACAAGGAAAATTTACGATACAGAATCGGGTGTAAATTTCAGGGTCATTTAAAGTGCAAACGTCTCAGACCTAATATCTCAAATTAGTTATCAATGGATCTAAATGAAACTTTTCAGAATAGTTTGTTATGGCCCAATAAAGAAATGATTAAAGTTTGGGGACGATCCAAAGTAGGGTGTTGGTATGAGGACCTTTCGAAAAGAAATGTTCCGGGCCAGATATAACAAAAACCGATCTACTAATCTGAATGAAACTTTCTGTAAAATTTTACCATGTTACAAAGTAGAAAACATTTAATTTTAGTGACATCCAAATTCGGTGTGAAATTTAAAGTGCAAAGTTTGTAGACCTAAATAGGCCTATCTCTAAAAACAAATCAATGGATCTAAATGAAACGTTCTAGAATAGTTTGTCATGTTTTAATGAAGAAGTGTTTACATTTTGTGATGATCCGAAGTAGGGTGCGGATTAACTAGGGTTCCAGGCCCGAATTTTCGTTTGTTCATTTTTATTGCACTTAACTAATTGAATTGGTTACCTCTCGCTCGTCTCTAAATTAACTTGCTCGTTGGTGGCGCTGTCTAGAATGAGATAAATGTAATAATTAGGGACTTGCGGCAAGTCTAGGTGTATATGTGGTGTATATTTTTGGGCTGATGATTAAACTATATAAAGGCAAGTTGCATTAACTAAAGCATTTTAAAACAGCTGTATAGCTAGGTGAAACAAAATATTATCGTGAAATACATTGGAGAGGAGTTGAATAGCTCAGTGGTTAAGATGCTTGCCTTCTGATCCGAGGGTCCTGAGTTCAATTTCTGTCACAGCAGGACTTTTTCTAAAACCAACTTTTACCAAAACCAACTTCACCCACTAAGCCTCGTAAAGAGACCTACTTTGTAAAGTATCATTCTCATCCTGTTAGTGGCAAGTATACTTGCTGTTGGATGTGAGAGAAATAAAAAAAAAAAGAAGAAGAAGAAAAAAAATTAACAATTTTCGTTTTTAATCACTGAATTTTGAACTAATAATACATTGACCGACGCAGAATCAGCTCATATAGTCAAGGATTGGTAATTTTTTGTTGTACTTTCTCCTTGTGAATCTAATTGATGGGTTATTAAATCGAAAAAATGTTGGCATCAAAAAACATTGTCAACATTATGTCGGTAAAAACGAACAGGTGCACCAGTGGACGAGTTTTAGCTAAAATTGTTTATGTTGTCCCGTGAAGAAGTTAGCTAGGATTCACCATGGAAAAGGATTACAACGAAAAATTACCCTTCCTTGACATTCTTCTAGATAACTCTGACCATAGCCTCAGTCAATCATAAAAACACATATATCGACTTGTTAACTAATTTCCATAGATTTACGTCACATGCCTTTAAATTTAGACATCTACGCACCCTAATAGATCGTACATTTAAACTTAATAATACATGGATAAGTTTTCATAAAGATTTAGGAAAACTTATATTTACTTTAAAAAAATTGTTATCCGATATAATTAATTAATAAAATAATACATAACCCTCTGAACAGAAAACTATCGCCCACCATTTGAAATCCTTCTAAAACACAACCTTCTTATTTCAACCTTAACACCATTATTCAACTATTGCTCAGGGGCGCATTCGGTTGGGGGTACGTGGGCACAATTAGACATTTCAATGCATATTAATGTTATGTGCTACTCACTTATCTCTTCTGAAACTGCTGTGCCCCGTCGTTTGAAAATTTCTGGATCCGCCCCTGATTTCTAACAAAAATCAACTTTATGGTAGAAAAAATATTTCTGCTAATATTAATGTTAAACTTGCTTTTAAATCATATAAATTATCTTTTTTTTTTTAATGTAAAAGACTATGTCCCAATTAATCTCCGAGCCCGTGTGCCTACAAATTTAATTGCGAGGAGTGTAACTTCGTATAGGCCTATATGGTGAGACCGACAGACACCTAGAAACACGGCCAAATGAGCACTTAGCTTACTAGTCATCAAACATTTTTCAGAATCTTCAAAACTCTGTTAAATGCAAAAAAAAAAAAAACACCTAATTCAGACTACTTTAATATTCTTGCTTCCACTATAAAAAGCCCGGCTTTCCATTGCTTGGGGGAAATCCGTCACAACTCATTACACTATCACTCTTTCATTCTAATTCTTAATACATGACTTACCACAATATTCATATTGTTATTATTATTATTATTATTATTATTAGTATTAACAAGTGCTCCTTCGAAAAGGGGATCCATCAACTAAGTTAAGAACAGGGATACTGTACTTCCACATGTAGACGTACGCAGAAATCTACCGGCTAATTCGGTGTATCATTCTTACTTTTTTTATTAACTTTTTTTGCCTAACCTGTTTTTTTTTCTTAGTCTGCGTTTTCTGGAATCCATGATTAACACTACTATGTATCCTGGCTCCCATTCGTTTCCTTATACGCTCATCCATTTTACTTGGGTCCTCGGTATAAAATTGGCATACACCACTATTATTTGTAGTAGGTGTGTACGCCTTACGACGACCTTTGACAACTTGTCCACCTACGCAACTACGGCGTAATTCCGCCGTCATGTTACGGAATCGCCGAAGGTCCTCCTCGAACGACGGCCCATATTCAATGAAGCGTTCTTTTAATCGTTCTACGAAGAAGTTATACAGCATTGTGTCAGCGTGATTCCATTCACGAGCTTTCTGACGCAAATTCTTGGACATTGCAACTTGGGAGTCGGGCCTTTCGTTCATAGGAAGATACACTAAATCTTCAAAACTCCAACAAAGTATTTTGCTTAGCAGTACTAGAGATTCGTCGTAGTATTCGTTTATAAGTACAAGATCCATATCTTCATTTATTTTAGCAATTGTTTTATTTACAACCTTATCATTCAAAACATACTGAGTATTTAGGCCAAGATCAAATATCTGGTCATTATTAATAAATCTGCTAGATACTAATTTAGGGTATTTTTTAGGATTTACAAGAAATCGTGTCATTTTTCTATTATTTATCAAAGTACGATTACGCCTATATTTTCGTGGCAGTTTGATTAGTTTTCCTTTGTTAAAGAATACAAAAGCCGATTCAAATTGCTTTGATGGCTCTCTCAGCAGCGTTATGTAGATGGGATCTTCGTTCATAAATCCATCTATTATTTTACGATCATAACGAACATGTAAAGTAAATATATTGTATTTGTAATTCGTGTAATTTCCTCTGGTTACGTTTGGTGGCGGAAGAAACGTGTGATGAGACGTTTTGTTAAATCTCCGGTTTCCATAATGTATAGATCCACTTTCTCCTATTTTCCTTACAAAGGCGAGAGAATTTCTGTAACCATATAGTTCAATAATCCTTGCGAGAGTTGTGCTTCCGGTTTTGTGGGTTTTCAAGAACACAATCGTTTGCTTAGGACTGCATTTATTAAACACATTCTGCATCCTAAAGTCAAGAAATGAATTTAAACTCAATTAGAATTACTACTTGCTAAGCACAATCTTTATACAGAATCATTACAAATCATAGTAATGTTTATAATAAAATGATAATATTGGTTTTATATTTAAAATATTTTATGTTTAAAATTTCTTTCAAATTAATACTTTATTGATGACAATTATTTGGAATAATAATAATAAGCCTTTTATACATCAACTTATCTGATTTAATATACAATACAACAAAGCACAATATAGTCATTGTCAAATAAATAATGTGCAATAGAAGTTTATAACATCATGGTAGAGTTTAATCACTCAGGGATCCTTGTATCCATAGAAAAATTCCAACTGATGAAAAAAAGAAAAAAAAAGCAGTAGGCCAAATTACTTTTAAACCCTGCATGGTCTAAATGGAAAAAAGTCTGTTTTTTTTCGCAAATGTTTTGGTCGGAGCCAGTAGTGGTGCCATCACGGGGATGGGGAGGGTTGGGGGTGGGGCCAGGACGGTAGTCGGCCCTTGGTTTGGACCCTGCTGTCGGACATGTCGGACCACTTATTGGCATACTTCTGTGCCACCAACAGGGGCGGATCCAGATTTTTCAAGGGGGCACAACAGATTCAGATTAGGTAAGTGAGTAGCACATAACCTTGATTTTCATTGAATTTTTTTTTTAAATTTAGTGGCAAAACGGAGGTGGGGGGAACGTCCTTCGTGCCCTTGTACTGGATCCGCCCCTGACCCTGCTCAGAGCTTTTCTGTTAAATTTACATTTAAAAGAAGAGAGAATTGTAATGTATAAACAATTGTTTTAATTATTGTTTAAAATTTGTTAAGCGGCCCTCCCCCACTCTCTTATTATGACCGGACCACATTCAAAATGCTTCCAAAGGCTAGGCCTACTTTGTTTACGTGCCGGCTCCCATGTGCCCTCTTACTCGAATTTTTTTTAATACACATATGGGCAGTTCAATAATTAACTACGAACTACAAAAATTCACGATTCGCACTATTGGGTGGACTGCCTAAAACTTAAAACATAAAATCATAAAACTGCATAAGACTGCATAACATCGATTGAGATACGTTATATCTTTCTAACTGAATAGGCTTTTAAAATACAATAACAATGAAAAAAAAACTTGATATTGAAATTATTAAGGCAAATAAATACTGCAAGTATTGTAAGTATTGCTAGAAAAGAATTCCTTAAACAACGTTCTTTCGTACAGTACAGAATGGATTCGAGAACAAACAAGGGTAAACGACGTAATAATCATTACAAAATGGAGATGGGCTGAGCATCTGGCAAGGAGAAAGGACGATAGATGGAGTCCATTAACAGCTGAATGACAACCACTATTAACAAAAGAAAAAGGGGAAGACCAAAAGATGGGTTGCGAGATGAGCTGGACATGTACGTTATACCACAGACAGAAACAAATGGCATGATTTGGGAGAGGTCTTTGCCCAGCAGTGTAAACAAGCTGTAAATGATGGTGATGATGATGACGACTGGGGACATGTAAAATCGAAGGTCGAAACAACAGCCTAATGTGAATTAATGGGTTTTAAATGTTATGATTTTTGAAATACATCAAATGACGCCGACATTATTGTTTTTTTTAATTACTTTCACAATTCTTTTCAATAATACCACTAACACATGCAACATTAATAATTAGAAAAAATACAAAAATATGTTTGTACTACTTTTGATTGAATGTTTTAAACTTTATTTAATAATTTGTTTTAGGCCTAATATAATAAAAATGATTCGTGCTCCCCCCCCCCCCTTTCCATCATCAGGGCCTTTGGCCTCCCTTGGCCCCCAGCGCCTGGCTCTGGACCTTTGCCCCCTTCGTTACGCCACTGATCCCATATTTAATATTTTCGCACTTCCCCAGGTGGGAACCACCCTACGCCCCTAATCATAGCTGTTTCATTATGATTAAAATGTTTTAAAATTGTGCTTTTAACGCCCCCAAGTTTATTGCTGCGAAGCAGCCAATTCATATTCTTGACAGCAATTTATTTGTCAAAAACCAAGGGACTAAGACGACTGAAAAGCGGAGTTTCCTTCTTCCGTTCTGCCAGGTAAAATCAATTACTTTAGGCGACGTTTGTAGACTAACCTACACGTACCAACGTACGCATGTCGCGAAGCTCGAGTATTCTATAATAAGCGTTTTTACTATATTTCTAGGTTTCTTATTCCTACGTTTAATCGGCCCATGTCTCAGTCACAATATTTTGAGGCCAATATTATTTACGAACCCAGTTAAAACTTATCTACTAGCCTATTTCAGCGTGCTAATTATTACATTTAGGCGACACTTGATGTAGACTGGCATACACGGTACCAACGCTCGTTTTTACTATATTTCTACGTCAGCTCGTCAGTGTTCTAGTATAGACAATGGGTCGTGTCTCATATTATTTGTTATATTTTTATTATTCATTATTTTCACTTGACTCGCATAAATAATTTTGTTCGAAGAACATTTATATGCAGTTGTACTTCGCAGCACTTCAATTGCAATTTGAAATTTCTAGTTCTATGAATGTTACAAGTTGGCAAAGTTTGCTGCTGCATTATTATGGTTTTACGATCACTAGGCCTATTCGAACAGAGCAGCAGGTTGGTAAATTGCTCCCATCGCTATATGTGGAACACCGTCACTCCATCGTTGTTGGTAACTTTTTTTCAGATGAAAATGTGAGTGTAGATTAGTATAGTATATATAAATAGTTGAGAATTGTACATCAATAATGCACATAAAATCAATTGTCGATTTAGAACGGCGTCAGGCATCTAATTAGTGCCATATTAATAGTATATTGTTTTAGTGACTCATCTAATTCTTATATAATCACTTTAACATTTTAATCGAAATAAAAAGAAGAAGAGAAAATTCGTGGATGAAGTTAGGTGGATGGAGGTTGGGTACAGAGGAAGCATGGCTGGATTATAGGGTCACCATATTTAAATGTTTGAATAACAGGGTACAAGACGTCCAATTGAATGATATTCTATAATTAATTCTCTGATAATACCTACGGGCTTAACGAGTGAGTAACGTATCACTGGATGGCTTTAACCGAGAAGTGGGTGGGGCAGTGGCGTAACGAAGGTGGCAGGGGCCCTTTAGGGGCCTCAGACGCTGGGGACCGGATTTTAGCGTTCTATGACGTATTTTTATGCCCTTTTTACAAATTTTTAGTCCCATTTTTACACATTTGAATTCTAAGTTTTATGTATCATGATTTGACCCAAAAAGCATACTTAATTGTAGCTAAGATATTGCTAATAACATATTACAATAAATACCAAACAAAACGAGCCAATTAAAATCAATAAATATTTATAAACAAAAACTTATGTATCATACTCATGTGTCAATACTTTTGCTCATTCTTCGTTGTCGACCCAACGTTGAATCGAAATTAAATAGACGTTGAACTCAGGTTGTTCAATCAACTGACCTAATTTCAACGTTGATTCTACGTCACTGTACAGCGTTAAACCAATTGTCACATCACGACGCTGTATTGAGAACGAGAATTTACTCCATGTTATATACCGACCGACACAGTATAAAACGTTGAGCCAACGTGACATCACGATGTTCTATCAACGACGAAAGTCGACATTGAATTTTGGTTGTTCAATTGACTGACATGATTTTAACATCGATTTAATGTCAGTGTACAACGTTAAATGAACATCACATTACGATGTTGCGTTGACGACGAGAATCGACGTTGATGACGTTGAATTCATGTCAGTCGTTTAAACAACCTAAATTAATAAATTAATTAAAAAAAAAAAAAACACTGCCGTTCAATCAACATGACATCGGGACGTAGTATTCAGGCGGATCTGGGTTCAAATATAGGGTGGGGGAAGTCAAAATGTTTAAAAAACCACCAAAGAGAAAGGGGGGTCGGGGTCCTCCCCCTGGAAAATTTTGATTCGTCACTCCATAATTGTTGGTAACTATTTTCAGATGAAAATGTGATTGTAAAGATTCTTGAATGTATAAATAGATAAGAATTATACATAAACAATGCACATCAATGTCGATTTAGAACGGCGTCAGGCACCCAATTAGTGCCATATTAATAGTACCGATATTTTAAATACTCTCTTCTGCGAATTGTTTTAGTGACTCATCTAATTCTTATATAATCACTTTAACATTTTAATCGAAATAAAAACTGGTTTCAAGAAGAAAATTCGTGAATGAAGTCAGGTGGATGGAGGCTGGGTACAGAGGAAGCATGGCTGGATTATAGGGTCACCATATTAAAATGCTTGAATAACAGGGTACCTGTACTTAGAAGTCTAATTGAATGATTTTCTATAATTAATTCTCTGATAATCCGGGCTTTCTTAACGAGTAAGTACGAACGTATCACTGGATGGCTTTAACAGTGAAGTGGGTGGAAGAGTGGCGAAATGAGCTTTCCCGACTTCTGAAGTGTCCTTAATGAAAAAGTTTCTGTTGTGTTTTGATAAACACAACATATAAACATCCGATAACTTACCGTTTGAGTTCTGTTGTTATGTCATGATGTTTTCTTGATTGAAATGGTGCAAATACATTTGTTGAAATTGACAGGTTTAACCAAACATGAACGAAGCAGAAAACAATTGTTGACAACAACATGCATTCCTATAGAAAAATAATTTGTAACAAATGTGATCACTACTTCCATGTAAGTTTGCGTCAAAAACATATCATAGGAGTGATTTTTTGTCCTACCTCATGTGTTATCGACCGAATACTCAGTACACAAGTACTGCGTACTAGCCAGAATCGGAGTATTCGGTACGATAATATAAAGCATTACTTCTATATTATCTTCCTGACGCAAACTCACATCGAAATAGCATTTGCAGTACCCGCTGCAACTTGGGGAACGGATTTAACACTAGTCACTAAGCGCATTAAGCTCGGTAGTCTAGTGGTTATGGGTTCGATTCCCACCCAAATCACATGTGAGTTTTTTTCCGCAAGTATTTATCAAATGAAATAATACTACGTGGTAGCCTACGAAATGCGTAATGAAAATGAGTACAATACCTTAAATCGTGACATAATGTCCTTCGTTTGAGTTTACTGATAAAGAGGCAACTGTTTCTGTATAATAGATCTGCTTGATCTGAAAATCATACATGATTAATCTAAAATCAAACGATTTTATTTATTTATATTCTGAATCAACCTATTATTTTCAAAATATAAAAGAAATTGCTGACCAGGGGATGTCAATTATAAGCAAAAGTAAAAAAAAATATTAACTGTCATCATTAGTTACAGAATTTGGTAAAAATATACAGACATTTAACCGCCTCAATATGATTATACCGTACCTTTAGACCAGGTTTCTAAATGTATGTAAGATGTACACAAATCATGCCTACACTTTAGAATAAATAGTACGGTACATCTCATCAATTGAAATATATTCCATTTAGTAATTTTGGTGTTTTTAACTTTAGTGTTTTTGGTTCAAGGTTGGCCCGATACACGGTATTCCTCCGTCAGTATGAGTCGGCTGCTGCTTTACTTCTCAGGCAAATCTATAATAGGCCTAAATATAAGAGGGCCAAGTTTTCATAAGCTTAATACGACTTATCCAGTGTCACTAACCATGGAGGTTTATTCCTCCGTGCACTAACTTACAACAATAATCAGTTGTTCTGGCTTATCATAGCATTCGTTCTATTAGATTAATAGTTTACAGGCCCGTAGCCAGCATGCTTCAAGGGGGGGTTCTGGGCGTGGGGCCCAGAAGCCCGCCAAAGGGCCCCAGGAGGGGTCAGGGGGGTTAAGCCCCTGTGGGGGCCGGGGGCGAAGCCCCCGAAGCCAGAGCATTTATACGATTTTAAAAGCATGTACATGTCATTTAAATGCATGTTCATGTATATTTAAATACTTCTTACACAATTTTAAAAATAAGATAAGAAGACTACTTTTTCCAATACAGGATTTAGAACGTAAATGTTTATTGTGAAACAAATTTTTTTTTTTTTTTTATTAAAAAGCAATGCTTAACATTTTAATGCTACTATGTAATGTTATCTCTAAAAATATAACTGGGATAAAATTAGCAATACCCACTAGGTGACTGTTCAAAACACAGACCTTGCGCATTATGATATATTGAGAAAAAATAATAAATATATTATTATGAATAATGTCAGTTAATTCTGACGAAACGTGAAAACATTACCAAGTTTATTTCCTTGCTAGCCTAGCTAGCCTAGGCCCTGGCCTATGCTAGCTCGATTACAAAATAAATAATAAAATCGTTCGCAAATAATAGGCCTCATCATAGGCTACGACCCTACCCTACCTAGCAACGCTAGACCTAGGGCCTAGGCTTAGCCCGAAAAAGTACACCGATCCCGCCGCCAGGCAGTATCATGAGCATGTGGTGAAAACAAGGGTGAATTTTCTAACTTCTTAAATTCCGTGATTTCTTCCTTGCTGGCCTTGAAGCAAAAAAATCGGTTATCCTTTCTCGGCGCTTCATCCTCTTCCTAGGCTATTTTTGGCGTGTCGCATGTCCTCGATCCCAGAGAAATGAAAAATGTCGAGCGCCCAAACTTTTGTGATGACGTCTTGCCAAAGTAAATAAACTACGGAGCACGCGATTGGTCAAATAGCTTAGGCAACAAACATCTCATTAATATTAATTTTGAAGTCTTGCTGGTTACGTCATTCAGCTGGCTGCAGGTTGTTTTGATTTCTACGATCGGACTACGTCGAACGATAGCGACAAATAAACAGTGCCAAAATGCTCCTATTTTGTAATAAATTGCACTATTTTGGAAACGGGGGATCGTTTTCTGGTTAAGGGGGTTCGCTGGCAAAAGGGGGGTTCGCTGAAAAAGGGGGGTTCGCCCGAACCCCAAAAAACCCCCCTGGCTACGGGCCTGGTTTATTGACAATATAATGTTAAACGGCCAATGGATAGGCCTATGCGAAGATCAAGTGAGGGTGCCAAAAATAGTTAATTTTCAGTTAAATATAGTATGGACTGCAATTTTTTTCCCAACCTTTTTTTTATAAAAAAAAATGTAGTAAGCTTTTTTATTATATCACAAGACTTTTAAACAAAGATTTGTTTTTATATGAGCTAAAGTCAGTAATGCTAATATAAAAGCCAAAATTAATTTGCTGTTCACACTAAACTAGTTATTTTTTATAATGGTATATGAATGTCATGTATTCATACTTGACGTATTTCCGAGTGGAAAGAAATGACTATGAATCCCTCTTTGACGTATAAAATATAAGTACAGTTCACAATGTTGAATCACATCTCTTAATTTTTTTTCTGCGTAAAATCCAACACGATTTCGGTGTCTAAACAACCAAGTTAACGTTGGTTTTAAAAAATCCAGAAAGAAAAACCTATCATCTCATACTTAAGCCTATAATTTCCGAGGATTCTACAATCATTTAAACAACAGGCTTATTGCCTCTACAGTACTTCAGTATCTAGAACTTCTAAACCTTTCTCTTGGAATCTTATCTCAACACTAGTAAATCACAAACAACAAACATATACAAAAATACTGTACTTCGTTTTTGTACCACACTTTGAACTTACACTACTAACATAGCGAATTCTACATGGTCTCTTATTTTGTTCCTATAGTTACCAAAGTGGTTTACATTTATTGTTTAATCAAATGAATGTTATTCTAGGACGTTCTATGTATTAAATGTTTTACACTAAGGCAAGGAATTGTAATTTATTACATTAAATACGCAAAATTAGATGTTCAGATATATTTACCTTAAACTGAAGCCTGTTCTCGGTAGTATGAAAATACTGAAGTATGAATAAAGTATGAAACAAAATTTGCTTTTCAATAAGGTCAAAGTTATTGTATTTCCAAGCTTTTTTTTATGCAAATCAAATTTATTTGATAGGGTCTCACATTTTAAACCACCAAACACAATGCCTTAGCCTTTTTAACGCCATACATATTTAAACGTCTTTGTCCAAACTATTGGTCACGACCCAATTATTGTCGCCAAAATATTTTATAGCGTCGATTTATAAGGGTTTAGCTATTTCAATGCTTTATAGCTGTTTCAATACATTCTAAAGCTATAGCATTCTAAATCTTTCTAACTTTCTAAAGTTGCCGTGTCGGACGGCATTGCATGTGATGTAAATAAAAACTGTAGTTGATCTTAGTAACTCGTTAGATATAATACTTCAACACCAGGGGGCAGTGGTCCAATATCTGGATGAACCTTATCTTATATTGAATTGCATTTTGGAAATTATGTTGTGTATTAAAGCGTATTACCAAAGATCGATGAACTAGCAAACAACGGATAAAACAACAGTCACGAAATGTTAATGATGCTTATGTCAGGAGTATATGCCTGAGTTATAAATTACCACAGCCATTGCTAGCTCAATTAAACAAATGTTTCGGCATGGGTTAACTGCCACACCAATGCGGAGCCTGAACGCAGAAAATCTTATGAGAGGATATTGATACGCAGTACTCGATGTGAGTCGAACCATATCAGAAGATAGTGTTGACAAAACAGTTAATTAATAAATATAAAGACAAGAACAAATAGGAAAAATAACTGATTAAAAATGACAAAGTTAAATTTTCAAAGGTAACTCAGTAAACGTATTACTGAGTTGCGTAAAAAGGGTCGAACTTATATCTCCCGCTTCGAGTTGGGAATAAGGACACTTAGCAAGGGTAGTTTTAACCCAGCTTGTTTTTCTAAATTGAAATTGATATTTAGATGACGAGGATTAAAATAATTACGTATAAATACCGTAAATGCAATAACTCTGCATCTAAGCATTTAAACATGTCAAGTAAATTGTGTAACTATGTTTTGAATGTTAGAGAATATCTAGCATATTTGTAAATAATTATATGCATATAATTGTGTTAAATATGCAACTCATATGCTGTCATTACCAAAAAATTGATTTTCTACAATTAATTGGCGTCCTTTAGCATTCATTCATGACAAATGAATTATCCAAAGCCATGTTTTCATAGTTAGGGAGTATTGTTAGTATATTTGTGAATTAATTAACGGCACAGGAGGCATATAGCTGTGTTAAATATGTAAATTAGCTTCCGCCATTAAAGGAAAATCGATTATTTGCAATAACTCTGCATCTAAGCATCCAATCAATGTTGGAGAATGATTAGCACATTTATGAAATAATTGTACACATATAATTATTTTAAACATGCAAATTACGGTTGTCATACAAATGGTTTTGCACAATAAGTCTGTAGGCCTATCAGCAGCTAATAATATAAAGTGTCCAGGCCCAGGTTTTAATGGTTAAAAGAATAGAATTAGCAACATTTACTGAATTAATTACAATTAAACTCATATAAATTTAAGAAAAGATTGTCATATAGGTTCTTGATAGATACCGTAATAATATGTAATCAATAGGATCTGAATACCTCCATAGCCTGCTCCATATCTCAGATATCAGTACAAAACTTCGTACATTTTTAACATGAACAAATCGTTGTGTCACACTCAGCGGCGTAGCCAGCGGAGAACGGGCCCCAGTGCAATTCCCGAAAGCTCCGACGTTTTAAATTTTCACGAGTCGTATTTTTAATTTAAAGGAAAAAATTCTAGGACTAGGTACTAATAATACTCTCTGATTACACAGTTGTTTATCAGTGGCACTCGCGATAACTGTGGTGCATTTAAAAACAAAAACATAAAATAAATACAGTACGATAAATATAGGCCTTTGAAATACAGTACGGTGTGCAGTAAAAGAGACGAGAAAGGTGCACACTTCACATTAAAATACAAATACATTAAAATACGATAAAATGCATGTAAATATAATAAACCTTAAACTATTAATTAGAGTACAGGACATTGCAAGAAACACGCATAATTACATATCATTCACAGTTGCTAAAATTTCACTTTTTTTTATTACGTCTTTAGATGTCTTACAAGAAATAACTATGCCATGTGGGGTATATACTGTATAAATTAAAGTTAAAACACAAGTGGGTTGTTTATTCTACATGTATACGTCGAACTAGGATTACAGTTTCTGGAGGCAATTTAAAATTGTTAACGTCTAAAGTTTGTCAATAGTCTTAGTTGGTAAAGATAATCTGTGCATACCACCAACATAGAAATGTAATAAACACCAGAGTAGCTAGAGGGGAAACTGTTCCCCATTGGCAATTTTGAACGGAGCATATTTGCTTTCTCATTGTTGTATATAGAAAAGAGAATCAGTGATAAAAAAAAAAAAAAAAAAAAACCCTGGTTAACTCCTTCTGCCACTCAAACTTATTTAAGGTCATCCACACTTCACCTCTTATACCAGCCTTGCTGTAGTGCTGTAATTTCTCATGCCACACAGTATCAAATGCTTTATGGAAGGTATACTGCTTCACGTTTTCAGAAAATTCTTTCTACCCCTATCCCTAGTGGTCACGGCGCTAGTAAATACATACCAATAATAATCGGAACCTTCGTCAATATCAAGGGGCCTATGCGATCTCAACAACTAGAAAATGATGGCACGTAAATTTAAACAATTGAAAGAACACAGTAATCTTGCAATTACTACTCCTCTAAAAAGCCTAAATATTATTCAGGGGCCGCTGGCCTTTTTTACATTAGAACTAAAGGCTGGGAAAGCATCGGTGTGCCTGCATGGAGACATGAGGAAACTTTCAACATTATACGCAGAGAAAGGTTTGGCGACAAGGTGGTAAAGACCCTCAAGAGTGTAGACATTCAAAGACCACCACCTATCGAAAGTGCTGCCAAGTAAATTTAATACAGAGTTTATTTAAAGACGAGCGTATGATGGGAAATATAGAACTAATACATGAAGATTGGAGATAGAAGGTTCGATGTTGATGATTATTGTGCAAGGAATGTTTAGCCGCTGTTGTGAAAAGTGTCAAGATGGACAAATCCATTATAAGCGTTTGCGTACTGAAAGATATATGGAGTAGGCTAAAGTGGTACGGTATCCACATGTTATAGATTACATATTGATATGTACCAGGAATCAATCAAGAAACTATATGACAATCTTTTCTCAAATTTATGTGAGTTGAATTTACAATTAATCTACAAAATTTTGCTAATTCTATTCCTTCAACCATTAAAACTTCGGTCTGGACACTTTATATTATTAGATACTTGATACAATATATTGTGCAATTTTGTTTTGTAATTACAACAGGTACCGTAACTTTCATTTAAAATAATTGAATCTGTACAATTATTTATAGACCTCCTATGCATATATTTATTCACGGATGTGCTAACCATACTCCCTAACCCTTAAAACATGACTTTGTATATTTGTCATGAATGAATGCTTAAGACACAAAATAACTGCGGGAAATCAATTTTCTCTTAATGACAGCCGCTAATTTGCATATTTAACATAATTATATGCATATAATTAATTTTCTTTATATGCAGTTTATTGCGAATAATCGATTTTCCTTTAATGGCGAAAGTTAATTTGCATATTTGTGCAAATTAGGTGACTTCTGGGTGGATATGTCATTTAGCACAACCTTATAAACCAGAATCAACAATAAAACAAACTTTTGCAATTTGTTTGACTCATTAAGGCCTATTTTTCATCTAAATCTGCTCGTCTAATACTTCGACGGTTTATTTTTGCACTCTACACTATTACAAAAGAGAATGATTTTTATCTCTTGGACCCAGTCGGTGATGATATTTGCAAAATAATTGAAGCCGTTCCATATTTCTCTCAGAATTCTTTGTCTGCAGGCCTGTTAAACTTCTTGTGTACAAAGTAAAATAAATTATTCGTCAAACGAGATTGGACCTTTTTTCAGTTATGAGCTCGTATGGTAGGCCTACAAGGTACAAGTAAAGAATAATAAACGCTTACATCACAAAATGCTTAAAATTACAAGTTATATTACATGATACGAGAGTACTATACAGTATTACCATACGACATTGCGTACAAAGGCTATTGACGAAACACAGCGCATTGACAGAAAAAAAATCGAAGAATCGTGCCGCCGAATTCCGTCTCGCTGTGTTTTTTCCCCATTCACTATGTTGTGTTTGTACTTAATTTTAAAACGTCATAGGCTTATTTATTTTAATACTAAATATTTGTATCTGTATTATATTCGTTGATACAAAATCGAATATCAGGACTTCTAAAATTCTGTAAATGGCTCTGGAAACCTTTGCCGGGCCGCGTTAGTTTAGAACTAAACTAATTCCTCCATGGTTAGGGTAAGCCAAAATCTCTTGGTAGTTGGGCGAGAGGAAAGTGTTAGTCATACAGAGTGAACTAACGTAATTGGCTATTACTGTAATTACAATAGGCAGTGTTTACATGGTCTTTGAAAGTATAAAAGGGCAGCGCTGAATTTCTGGTTGATTATTTGAGTAGTGTAAAGTATAACAATAATTAACTGCTATAGTCCTGATTCTAAAGGATATAAATGTTTAGAATTGTTCGGACACACAGGTACAATTCTATGTATTGTTTTAATGTTGACTTCTTACAAACATTTTGTTCATATTCAATATGAATAAAGGCATAGATTGTAGCAAGCAGGTAGGCCTATATTATAAACACTACCGTAATTTTCGATATTTTATACACATGATATGACGTACTGTTTAGGCTGTGTCTATCCATGGAGGAAATATATTTTCTCCACGGTCTATCCAATTAAATATTGAATAGCTTTATATTTAAAACGATCAAAATCAAATGGAAGTAAAAATAGCTTTCATTGATTTACAGACGGTTCTACAAAAATCCTAAATATACAGCCAATGAATCATGCAAAAGAATACAGAAACGCTCACTGTTTGTTAATAGGCATAGATTTTTTTCTCATAAAAAAAAAAATAATTGTAAAATTGTAAATTAACTGTGTCCGAAGTACTAGTAATTTGTTTCCGAGCATTTCTAAACGTCCTTCAGAATCAGTACTACTATACAATTGCTACAACACACACGTCACACTGTATAAGCCTAACTGTAGGCCTAGGCCTACTAGCCAAATACGGTGCCAGATTCAATATTAGCCTACTCTTTTTTTTTTTTAACTTTCGAAGACCAGCTGTAGGCGTACATAGAATGTGTCTAATGTAATACTAACATTTTTACACTACTGTCTTAAATACCAAAGGCTTATTTACGAAATGTTGGCCTAGTGACTCCATGCATGCACCACTGCTCCTCCACGCATGCACCACTGCCTCTGTTTCGGATTCGGGAGGTGGAGTCTCTATGCATATTCATACATATCAGTTCTCCTAACTGACCTAAAATAGCACCCTCTATAATTTCTGCCGCAACTGTATAGGAAAAAAATAATGCTGGCGCCGGCCCAGTGTTCCAGGGGCTCCGGTATCATGAAGCTGTAGGGCCTCCGGATCCGGCGTTATGCCACTGTACACACAGGGTAATTAGCCCTACTCTCGAGAGCAGCGCATACTTTATCAGATATATTTCAACAATAAGGTACAGTAATAGATAAGGCGACTTGCACATCTAGAGTTTCGAACCCCCGCCCTCAAGGTTGAGAGTCCAAGCCCAACAGCTTCTAAAATGATATATATGTCTGTATGGTAGATTCTATAATTAGGCCTATGTTAAATATCTTCGCCTTCGTCGTGGTTACGTGGCCACAAGTACATTAGAGGACATTACTGCCACGGGATTGCAACTTGCAAGACTGAACGTGGACGTGAGGATAATTATACATTTTGTATATTTGTTTATATACAGTATATGCTTTTTTAAAAAAAAAGTTAATTATAAAAACGACCTTTAAGCACGAATTCACCAAGCATTAAAAAATCAATAAAACTAAACTATGGTTTGGTTTTCAATGGAAAATAGGATGTTATGGAGGGTCTCCTCCATCGGCAATCAAGTCAAGAGCACTGCCTACCGGGTCAGCTATATGACAAAATAACTTCCAACATCAGCTTGAGGCCTCACATTCAGCTACCCGCTACCACTTGTCAGGTGTTCCTCAACAAAATGCCAAGATAGAATTCCCCTCCCCCACCAAATCCAATAAACCAACCAAGTAGGGTATTTTGTCTCATTCCTAAAAAATTATTTGCCTATATATTTTTCTGCTTTAATTTGGAGATATTCGACACGTAATATAGGTAATAATTGTTTTTTGTTTTATTATTTTATCTAATAAATCAGACGACACAGTTACACATTCAGGCCTAAATGGTATAATTAGTACAAACATGTAAGTTATGATAAATAATAATAATAATAATAATAATAATAATAATAATAATAATAATAACAATAATAATAATAATAATAATAATAATAATAATAATAATAATAATAATAATAATAATAATAATAATAATAATAATAATAATAATAATAATAATAATAATAATAATAATAATAATACATTTTTATTGTACAAATTATAATACCGTACTCAAATCATGTATTGGGTTTACGGTTTGAACGCCAAGGAAACAGGGCTGGTGGTGGGGATGAGCAGTACCACGGATGCCAATTCTCTGAAGTGTACGTTTCTATTCTTTCTGCTTCTGCTAAGAGTTCATTTATTACAAAGCATGATTAATGCATGTGTTGTCTTTCAGAAATGCTTTTTGATTAACAATGCAATTTATTAACACATTTAGGTAAATTATCAAACAATCAGCGATGATCTGATATGTTAATATAATACTACTACTCATTTTAAACGAAAATACGATTTTCACAAGCTTGGTCAAATTCCCGGAAAGATGTTACGTGCAGTACTCGATTTAAGGTGTTGTTGGTATTACTTCAGCATTTTTTATTCTCTGTCGTTTTAAGTTCTCTCCAGACCCGCACAAAATTTGATGATGTGTGAGACGTGAACAATTTGTTGTAAGCACAATATTACCGGCGCATTTTTCCCATACTTTTTAAATAATAATAAAGGCACGTGCACTCGAGTCGTGTATTATAGGTAATTCAGATTTTGTGGGTATCTTGCTATAAAATAAAATGTACTCTGGCTGTACAGCGCTCAATGGTTAAAACCTGGGTCATTTATGCAGTTCATTTCAACAATTATCAGGCATCTTCCTGACTTATGAAATTGAATTGCGGACGAAATGTGAGGGGACCAATTCCCTGTTAAAAATATGCGGGGGGACGTATACTGCTGACCTGCGCCTGCACAGGGGTTTTGCTTACTGCTTCTTTGATATTATTGAGCGCTTTGTCATATCAGTCCAGAATAAATCAACATCACGATGTGTAAGTTTGCGAACTAGATTGAGAAGAAAAGTAGTCGTTTATACGATTTTGGTTTTTTGACCCTAGTGATCACTGTGTGACATTTTTAACCAAAGCGGTAAACACCCCATGTATGGGAGGTGTCACCGGTTATACTGACCCAGGTTGGTTGAAATCGGCTCAACCATTTGGCACTAGTAGCGTTTTGAAATGTTGTCAGCAAAAAGATAAAAATTACAACTTAATGACCTCTGACCCCAAATCCATGAACACACTATATACTCTGCTTTATGCCAATGCATATTATGCAAAGGACAAGACTGTTCTATGTTATTTATGAGAGAATTCCACGATTTTTTTTACCCTAATGACCACCGTGTGTGTCATTTGACCCCAAGCGACGAAACACCCCATTTATGGGAGGTGTCATAGGTTATACTGACCGTACCAAGCTTGATTGAAATTGCTCCAACCGCTTGGCACTAGTAGGGGTTTCTTAGGAATGTTTAACCCAGTTACAAGGAAAAATTATTTAACTTTAGTGACGATCCCGAATCGGGTGTAAATTTGAGGGTTATTTGAAGTGCAAACGTCCCAGACCTAATATCTCAAATTAGTTATCAATGGATGGATCTAAATGAAACTTTTTAGAATAATTTTTTATGATCCAATAAAGAAATGATTAAAGTTTGGGGACGATCCAAAGTAGGGTGTTGGTATGAGAACTTTTTGAAGAGAAATGTTCCGGGCCAGGTATAACAAAAACCGATCTACTGATCTCAATGAAACCTTCTGTAAAATTGTACCATGTTACGAAGTAGAAAACATTTAATTTTATTGACATCCAGATTTGGGTGTGAAATTTATTGTGCGAAGGTCATAGACCTACATAAGCCTATCTCTAAAAACGATTCAATGGATCTAAATGAAAAGTTCTAGAATAGTTTGCCATGTTTTAATGAAGAATATTTACATTTTGTGATGATCCGAAGTAGGGTGCGGATTAACCAGGGTTCCTGGCCCTAATTTTTCGGTTATTCACTTTTATTGCCCTTAGTGCGCGCCATAACTAATTTAATTAGCGATTTTTTTTTCGTCTCTAAATTAACTTGCTCGTTGGTGGCGCTGTCCAGAATGCGAAAAATGTAGTAATAAGGGACTGGGACTTGGACTGGACTGGATTTATTCGGTGTAAACACCAAGGAGCGCCCACGAAATTCTAGAAGAAGACTTATTTACAGTGGGGTCCTTCTGGTGGTGATTGGGCAGTACACCGGTAGACAATCTCCTTACTCTTTTCCGAAGAGTGTACTTTTCAGAATAGTTTTTTATGGTCCAATAAAGAAATGATTAATTAAAGTTTGGGGGCGATCCAAAGTAGGGTGTTGGTATGAAAACCTTTTTAAGAGAAATGTTCCGGGCCAGATATAACAAAAACCGATCTACTGATCTGAATGAAACTTCTCTAAAATTTTACCATGTTACAATGTAGAAAACATTGAATTTTAGTGACTTCCAGAGGTAAGCTGCTCTCTCCTGAGCTAAGCTGCTCTCTCACTTGTGGCAAGTTTAGGTGTGGATATGTGGACCATTTAAAGAATATTTTTGGGCTGAAGATTAAACTATATAAACGCAAGTTGCGTTAACTAAAGCATTTCAAACCAGCTGTATAGCTAGGTTAAACACAACAGTATCGTGATATGCATTGGAGTGGAGTTGAATAGCTCAGTGGTGAAGATTCTTGCCTTCTGATCCCAGGGTCCTGGGTTCAATTCCTGACACAGCAGGACTTTTTCTCACGACCAAAACCAACTTCACCCACTAAGCCTCATTAAGAGACTTGGTTTATAAAGCATCATTCTCATCCTGTAAGTGGCAAGTGTACTTGCTATTGGATTTGAGGGAAATTTAAAAAAAAAATAAGAAAAGAAAAATTAACATTTTTCGTTTTTAATCACTGTATTTTGAACTAATAATACACTGACCGACGCAGAATCGGCTCATATAGTCAAGGATGGGTATTTTTTTTTTTTGTACTTTCCCCTGGTGAATCTAATTGATGGGTGTTGTGTATTTAAAAAATGGAAACAAATGTCGGCATCAAAAAGCATCGAACAGGTGCATCAGTGAACGACTTTTAGCCAAGGTCGTTCATGTTGTCCCTTGAAGAGTTTAGCTGGATTCACTATGGAAAAGGAGTACAACAAAAAATTACCCTTTCTTAACAATCTTTTTGATAATTCTGACCATAATAACTCATCATTAATAACCTCAGTCAATCATAAAAACACATATACCGACTTGTTAACTAATTTCCATAGCTTTACGTCACATAAATATAAATTCAGACTTCTACGCACCCTAATAGATCGTACATTTAAAATTAATAATACATGGATAGGTGTTTTAACACTTATATTTATTTTTCGAAAAAAAATTTATCCGATATAATTAATTAATAAAATAATATATAACTCTCTGAACAGAAAACTATCGCCCACCATTTGAAATCCACCTAAAACGCAAACACAACCTTCTTGTTTCAACCTTAACACCATTATTAAACTATTGCTCAGGGCGCATTCAATTTTAGACATTTCAATGCATATTAATGTTATGTGCTACTCACTTATCTCTTCTGAAACCGTTGTGCCCCGCCGTTTGAAAAATTCTGGATCCGCCCCTGATTGCTAACAAAAAATCAACTCTATCGTCAAAAAATATATTTCTATATTAATGTTAAACCCTCTTTTAAATCATATAAATTATCTTCTTTTTTTAAATATTATAAAAGACTATGTCCGAACTAATCTCCGAACCCGTGTTGTCTACAACATTACTTGCGAGGAGTGTAAATTCGTATATATTGGTAAAACCGACAGACACCTAGAAACACGGGCAAATGAGTACTTAGCTCCGGACAATCTTCAAAACGCAATGCAAAAAAACATCTAATTTCAGACTACTTTAATATTCTTGCTTCCGCACTTAAAATAAAAGCCCTTTACATTGCTTGGGGAAAATCCGTCACAACTCATTACAATATTACTCTTTTATTCTAATTCTAATTGTATGCATGAGTTACCTTAAAATTTGCTTGTTTATCTTACATCTGACCTGGTAGTACATAAACCGGTATAATCATTTTTACCTGCTGATGATGTGTTACTCGTCAAAACATATCGTTACTTAGTTCGTATATTTTTATTTTCATTTTTACTTACGTAGTAGACGTACGCAGACATCTGCCGGCTAGTTCGGTGTATCCTTCTTACTTTTTTTTAATAACTTTTTTGCGCCTAACATTTTTTGGTATTTTTTTCTTAGTCTGCGTTTTCTGGATTCCATGATTAACACTACTATGTATTCTGGCTCCCATTCGTTTCCTTATACGCTCATCCATTTTACTTGGGTCCTCGGTATGAAATTGGCATACTCCACTATTATTTGCAGTAGGTGTGTACGCCTTACGAGGACCTTTGACAACTTGTCCACCTACGCAACTACGGCGTAATTCCGCCGTCATGTTACGGAATCGCCGAAGGTCCTCCTCGAACGACGGCCCATATTCAATGAAGCGTTCTTTTAATCGTTCCACGAAGAAGTTATACAGCATCGTGTCAGCGTGATTCCATTCGCGAGCTTTCTGACGCAAATTCTTGGACATTGCAACTTTCTGGGAGTCGGGCCTTTCGTTCCTGGGAAGATACACTAAATCTTCAAGACTCCAACAAAGTATTTTGCTTAGTAGTACTAGAGATTCGTCGTAGTATTCATTTATAAGTACAATATCCATATCTTTATTTATTTTAGCAATTGTCTCATTTATAACCTTATCATTCAAAACATACTGAGTATTTAGGCCAAGATCAAATATCTGGTCATTATTAATATATCTGCTAGATACTAATTTAGGGTATTTTTTAGGATTTACAAGAAATCTTGTTATTTTCTTATTATTTATCAAAGTACGATTACGCCTATCTTTTCGTGGCAGTTTGACTAATTTTCCTTTGTTAAAGAATACAAAAGCCGATTCAAATTGCTTTGATGGCTCTCTTAGCAGTGTTATGTAGATGGGATCTTCTTTCATAAATCCATCTATTATTTTACGATCATAACGAACATGTAAAGTAAATATATTGTATTTGTAATTCGTGTAATTTCCTCTGGTTACGTTTGGTGGCGGAAGAAACGTGTGATGAGACGTTTTGCTAAATCTCCGGTTTCCATAATGTATAGATCCTCTTTCTCCTATTTTCCTTACAAAGGCGAGAGAATTTCTGTAACCATATAGTTCAATAATCCTTGCAAGAGTTGTGCTCCCGGTTTTGTGGGTTTTCAAAAACACAATCGTTTGCTTAGGACTGCATTTATTAAACACATTCTGCATCCTAAAGTCAAGAGATAAATTTAAACTCAAATTAGAATTACTACTTGCTAAGCACAATCTTTATATAGAATCATTACAAATCATAGTAATGTTTATAATAAAATGATTATATTGGTTTTATATTTATGTTTAAAATTTCTTTCAAATTAACACTTTGGAATAATAATAAGCCCTTTATACAGCAACTTATCTGATTTCGTATACAAAACAATAAAGCACAATTAATAGTCATTGCCAAATAAATAATGTGCAATGGAACTTTACATCATGGTAGAGTTTAATCACTCAGGGATCCTTGTATCTATAGAACAATTCCTACTGATAAAAAAAATAAGCAATAGGCCTGAGTTACGACATTCATGAAACCATAACATATTAAATTTCCCAAATTACTTTGAAGCTCCGCATGGTCTAAATGGAAAAAATAATCTTTGTTTTTTTTTTTTGCAAATGTGTTGGTCGGAGCCAGTGGTGGTGCCATCACGGGGGTGGGGAGGGTTGGGGTGGGTCCAGGGCGCCAGTCGGCCCCTTGGTTTGGACCCTGTTGTCGAACATGTCGGACTCCTTATCGACATTTTTCTGGAGCCCCCAGCAGGGGCGGATCCAGAATTTCTCAAATAGGGGGGCACAACAGTTTCAAAATAGTTAAGTGAGCAGCACATAACCTTGATTTGCATTATAATTTTTAAAATGTTGTGGGAAAAACAGGGGGGGGGGAGTGTCCGTGTCCACCGTGCCCTCCTACTGGACCCTCCCCTGACCCTGCTCAGATCTTTTCTGTTAAATTTACATTTAAAGGAAGAGAGAATTGTAATGTATAAAAAATTGTTTTAATTTCTATCGTATATTTTTTTATGAAATTGCGAATAGAAATATACGAAAAAATGCGAGATAAAAGGATAATGCATTTACAGTACAACATATAACTATGGAACGCCTTTAAAGCAACAATTCGACGATAACCAGTGAACCATCGATGATGAAAAAAGTAAATCGTTGATGATGAAATGTAAACCGTCGATGATTAAAAAAAAGTGAATCGTCGATGATAAAACAAGTGAATCGCCGATGATGAAGCAAGTGCATCGTCGATGATGAAACAAGTGAATCGTCGTTGATAAAATAAGTGAATCATCCAGTGGCGCCGCTAAGATGTGTATAAGAGACAGATACAAAAGCCGATTCAAATTGCTTTGATGGCTCTCTTAGCAGTGTTATGTAGATGGGATCTTCTTTCATAAATCCATCTATTATTTTACGATCATAACGAACATGTAAAGTAAATATATTGTATTTGTAATTCGTGTAATTTCCTCTGGTTACGTTTGGTGGCGGAAGAAACGTGTGATGAGACGTTTTGCTAAATCTCCGGTTTCCATAATGTATAGATCCACTTTCTCCTATTTTCCTTACAAAGGCGAGAGAATTTCTGTAACCATATAGTTCAATAATCCTTGCGAGAGTTGTGCTTCCGGTTTTGTGGGTTTTCAAGAACACTACCGTTTGCTTAGGACTGCACTTCTTAAATACTTTCTGTACCCTAGAGTCAAGAAATAAATTTAAACTCAAATTAGAATTCAACTATCTTTATAGAGAGTCATAAATCACAATAATTTAGGGTTGTCGCGGAAGCTGTCACAACGCCGATTTAGCCAGTAAGGTTTGTGAGCATGCGCAGATGTCCGTTACGCTCTATTAGTTCGTAGTAGACTGGCCGCGTAGTCAAAACGAAAAATGCCTACTAAGAGAAAAGAAAGAGGGGAGAGGAAGGAAAAGAGAAAGGAAAAAAGAAAAGGAAAGGAAAAAGGAAAAGAAAAAGATAAGAAAAAATAATGACAAGAATAAAAAGGAAAATAATAGTCTGGTCATAATGACCAGACTCACAACACCCTGCAACCCCTTCTCCACTTTAAAAAGTGTCCAAAGCTCCTTTGATTTAAGCCGCCAGACATTCTCCGCAGTGGCCTAACCACCGGTAGAAAATATCCATCTGTGGAAAATCTTTCCACACCCCTTGTAGATGCCCTTTCCACCCCCTTAAAGTGCCTAAAAATCTCAAAATTTCTTGTAGGCCAATTTCTTCTAAAAATTGCACATTTTAGGGAATTTTGATCAATTTCGACGAAATTAGAATTAAAAACACAAAATTTATGTATACATATATATAATAATACTAATAATAAGGAACTTGTAATTTCACTCTACAGGCTGTTTCATGCACTAGGCAATCTTCAGGAGTGAAGGGAATTTCATTTTGAAAGGTGTTCGTGTATACCGCTCTGCATAGACTTCAGAGCGGTATAATAATAATAATACTAATAAACCGACACAGTAAACATTTATTCATGTGGTAGGTGAAGAATTACAACAAAACAAGTCATGCAAAAACATGTTTGGTCTCAGCGGACAATGCTGTAAAAATATAGGCCTATACATATTATTTTATCCCGGTGCAGACTGTTACATTTTGATTTATATTATTCATTGCATTATTCCGTTTCATACACGTTTTGTTTGATATTGTTCAAGTTTTGAAAACCTGTTTCTAAAGCAATTAAAATATTGGCACGTTTGTTTATCAAACGCGCCTGGTAAAATGCCATCCATTGTTACTGTGAATAAAACGTGATATCCTTTCCTTCTGCATTGTATAATGTTATAGTTATAGGCCAAGGAGTTTGTGCGCAACTTCACCCATTCGATATTAACCAAGCCAGTACTTCACATGCATTAAGCCTATATACAAAGATATATAAAACGCATCTTTACAGTGTCTATTTGATCTGCCAGTTCTAGGCCTATATAGTCATTAACAATAATAAAAATGGGGAAAAGGGTGCCTTTGAAATCTACTTCAGCAAGTGTGTACGAAACCTTATTAATTACATTTAATAAAACAAGTTTTTTTAATGCAATAATAATAGAATTTGATACTCAATAGGTCTAGAAATGTAGACATACGGACCATAATATATTAGAAACTTTTTATTTATATCTATTTTACATAAATAGCGGCCTTACATCGCTTTTGATGTGAAGTTATGAACTGCTAATGTTTGTCTTGCATGTCTATTACACACTGTCACTCACAAATGCATGTAAAAATTGGTCTTAAAATTTGATAACAATGGACAACTAAAATCTATTGTAAATATTTATTTGAATTCATACACTAATTTTGTTTTAAGTTGTTTGTTTTCAATATTATAGCAGGGGCGTGCTGGGGGTGTGGGGAGTGCGGCCGCACCCCTTCCCCCGCCCCCTAAAAAAAGAAGGGCAAAAAAGTTCCACTGGTCTATAGGCCTAAGCCTAGGCCTGCCTCTACAGTGAAAAATTTGCCTAGTCGTAAAATCAAATAAAAACTCATTTTATATCCCAAATGTAAATAAACACTACAGTAATTCGAAATAAATACCGTGTATTCCTTCGTATTGCAGGGCCGTCGGAACCGCACCGGCCCCACCGGGTTTTGGCCGGACCACTTTCTCTCAATTCTATTATTTTTTTGAATAAATGTATATACTGATACCTATAAAAGTATAAATTATATGATTTTTTTAAATTAGTGTTTACATCACATTGTCTTTAAAAGTGATATATAAAGTAAAAATTAACTATTTATAACATTTTGGGGGTTGGAGTCGGCTAAAGTGATACTATCACACAAAGGTGTACGGGTCAAACCGGCCCTGATTACTTGCAATTGTAATTTCAACCCTAAAGTGAAGGACATTCGTGTTTTTTTTTTTTTTTTAAATTATGCATGTGGTATTTCCCCGGCAGAGGACTAGTTTTTCCAACCATTATGGAGCTATGGTGGGTTAGGTATCTAGTTCACTTCCATTAGTTGCTAGTTGCTATCTTCTCCCCACCCTTTAACAGTCAGACGATATCAGGGGCGGATCTAGAGCTTCAATCAATCAGATTTTATTTTTCAGATGATGATGATGGCATGGATGAGTCATGTTGGATTAATGAATGCACATCTATGGCTGGCAATGCCAAAGCCATTTTTTCAAATAGTGCGGGACAATATCAGGGTGGGTCCATTTCATGCGTAAATTAAAATAATTTTAACCAATTTTCTAAAAGTGGAGACATAAATATGAGAACTCTGGACACATTTTGCAAAAAGTGGACTCATTTTTGTGCATACAACAACATAATTTAGATCAATTTTTGAATATGTGGACATATTCTTCGTATAAATAATGTGAACCCAATAGAAACATTGTGCGGGATTGTTTAAGTAGCTGGCTACGGCACTGATGGCTAGGGACAGCGAACCACAAAAAGGCCGCCCCTGGTTGGAGTGGAGGGGTATGAAGGCCTCGCAGTGGTTGAATTCCTAGAAGACTAATTTGTCCTCTTAAACCCCCGAGATGAACGAGTAATTACGAACACAAGTAGCAAAGGATTACTTTTAGCCAGGCGAACTTTAAAAACGTGCATGCCAATATTTCAATTGCTTTAGAATTTGATTTTCAAAAGGTATTTTTGTAATGGATTTTACTGTAGTCTGAAGCAAACGCAAATACCTGACTGAAGAAAATGATATTGAATGAGTTAAAAAGATACGAAGATATAGTTGGTGTGGAATAATGTTTTAAAAATTCCTGTTTGTTGTGAAGTGAAGCATGCATTCATCAGGTTAGCAGGTGTAAGTTATCTCCGCCTATGCATACAAACTGAACAACACTAAACAAAGGTATATAGACCCCGATATAGACCTATATTTATGATTTCCAAAAAACACTTACAGTGCATTTCACGCTAGAGTACGTTGGCTTAATGAAACACGTCTTTGCAAGATGTGCTTTGGAAAATGTATTTTGTCGTTCAAGTTCACCTACGACAAAAACGGTACGGTACACCGCCGTTACAGTTAGACCATATCAGATGTTACGATTTGCTTACTTTTAAAAGATGTTTTACGGTCCAGAGCTGAAACCAAGATTGCCGTAGGAGGGGGTGGTGTGTGGGTGTGAAAATTGAACCAAATGGGGTTCGGGGATCGCTAAAACTAAATACAGTGTAAGGGAGAGCCTATTGGATCACAGCATAATAATAATTAAATACGAACTACAAAAAAGCACGATTCGCACTATTGGGTGGACTGCCTAAAACTTAAAACGTAAAAACTTAAAACTGCAAAAGACTGCATAACATCGATTCAGATACGTTATATCTTTCTAATTGAATAGGCTTTTAAAATACAATAACAATGAAACAAAAACGCATGAAATTAAAATTATAAAGGCAAATAAATATTGCAAGTATTGTAAGTATTGCTAGAAAAAAATCCTTAAACAGCGTTCTTTCGTACAGTACAGAATGGATTAGAAAATAAAAAAGGGTAAACGACGTAATAATCATTACAAAATGGAGATGGGCTGAGCATCTGGCAAGGAGAAAGGACGATAGATGGAGTCCATTAACAACTGAATGACAACCACTATTAACAAAAGAAAAAGGGGAAGACCAAAAGATGGGTTGCGAGATGAGCTGGTACAATTAACAGAATTAGCAGCATGGACACGTTATATCACAGACAGAAACATATGGCATGGTTTGGGAGAGGTGATGATGATGACTGGGGAAATGTAAAATCGAAGGTCGAAACAACAGCCTAATGTGAATTAATGGGTTTTAAATGTTATCATGATTTTTGAAATACATCAAATGACGCCGACATTATTGTTTTTTAAATTAACTTTCATAATTATTTTCAATAATACCAATAACACATGCAACAGTAATAATTAGAAAAAATACAAAAATATGTTTGTTCTTCTTTTGATTGAACGTTTTAAACTTTATTTAATAATTTTTTTTAGGCCTAATATAATAAAAATGAAACAATAATATGTACAGTAATAAGAAATAAAGTCACAGACGAACAACGTATTATCTTAATTACAGTATATTAATATTCAAATCACAATACAAAAGTAAGCACTCAAATGTGCCAAAAAAGACATTAAAATACATCACAAAACGCCACAAACACCGGAGCAACTGGGGGATTTGTGCCTTCCCCCCCCCCCCACCCCTTCCACCGTCAGGTGGAAAGGGGGGGGGGGAGGAGGCCCCCAGCGCCTGGCTCTGGACCTTCGGCCCCTTCGTTACGCCAATGATCCCGTATTTACAATTTTCGCACTTCCCCAGGTGGGAACCATCCTACGCCCCTGATTATAGCTGTTTCATTATGATGAAAATGTTTAAAATTGTGCTTTATAACGCTCCCAAGTTTAATCTATGATTCAATATTATGAATTTTACAAGTTGGCAAAGTTTGCTGCTGCATTATTATCGTTCAGATACGATCACTAGGCCTATTCGAACAGAGCAGCAGGTTGATAATTTTTTCCCATAGCTATTTAGATGTGGAACATCGTTGTTGGTAACTTTTTTTCAGATAAAAATATGAGTGTAAAGATTCCTGAGTATATATAAATAGTTAAGAACTGTGCATCAATAATGCACATATAATCAATTGTCGATTTAGAGCGGCGTCAGGCATCTAATTAGTGCCATATTAATAGTACCGATATTTTGAATACTCTTCTTCCGCGAATTGTTTTAGTGACTCATCTAATTCTTATATAATCACTCTAACATTTTAATCGAAATAAAAACTGGTTTCAAGAAGAAAATTCGTGAATGAAGTCAGGTGGATGGAAGCTAGGTACAGAGGAAGCATGGATGGATTATAGGGTCACCATATTAAAATGCTTGAATAACAGAGTACCTGTACTTAGAAGTCTAATTGAATAATTTTCTATAATTAATTCTCTGATAATGCCTACGGGCTTTCTTAACGAGTGTATCACTGGATGGCTTTAACAGTGAAGTGGGTGGGACAGTGGCGAAATGAGCTTTCCCGTCTTCTGAAGTGTCCTTAATGAAAAAGTTTCTGTTGTGTTTTGATAAACACAACAGATAAACATCCGATAACTCACCGTTTGACCTCTGTTGTTATGTTATGAGGTTTTCTTGATTGAAATGGTGCAAATACATTCGTTGAAATTGACAGGTTTAACCAAACATGAACGAAGCAGAAAACAATTGTTGACAACAACATGCATTCCTATAGAAAAATAATTTGTAACAAATATGATCGCTAATTCGATGTAAGTTTGCGTCAAAAACATATCATAGGAGTGATGTTTTGTCCTACCTGGCGTGTTATCGTACCGAATACTCAGTACACAAGTACTGCGTACTAGCCAGAATCGGAGTATTCGGTACGATAACACGTCAGAAGGGCAAAGCATTACTTCTATAATATCTTCCTGACGCAAACTCACATCGAAATAGCATTTGCAGTACCCGCTGCTACTTGGGGATCGGATTTAACAATAGTCACTAAGCGCATTAAGCTCGGTAGTCTAGTGGTTATGGGTTCGATTCCCACCCAAATCACTTGTGAGTTTTTTTCCGCAAGTATTTGGGACGTACTGAGTATTCGGTACGATAACACGTCAGGTCAGGTAGAGAAAAACATCACTCTTAAAAGTGATTGCAATAGAAGTTTTATCAAATGAAATAATACTTCGTGGTAGCCTACGAAATGCGTAATGAAAATGAGTACAATACCTTAAATCGTGACATAATGTCCTTCGTTTGAGTTTACTGATAAAGAGGCAACTGTTTCTATATAATAGATCTGCTTGATCTGAAAAACATACAGTACATGATTAATCTAAAATCAAACGATTTTATTTATTTATATTCTGAATCAACCTATTATTTTCAAAATATAAAAGAAATTGTTGACCAGGGGATGTCAATTATAAGCAAAAGTAAAAAAAAAATTAATTGTCATTATTAGTTACAGAATTTGGTAAAAATATACATACATTTAACTGCCTCAATATGATTATACCGTACCTGTAGACCAGGTTTCCAAATGTATGTAAGATGTACACAAATTATGCCTACACTTCAGAATAAATAGTACATCTCATCAATTGAAAAATATTCCATTTAGTAATTTTGGTTAACTTTAGTGTTTTTGGTTCAAGGTTGGCCCGATACACGGTATTCCTCCGTCAGTATGAGTCGGCTGCTGCGTTACTTCTCAGGCAAATCTATAATAGGCCTAAATATAAGAGCAAAGTTTTCATAAGCTTAATACGACTTATCCAGTGTCACTAACCATGGAGGTTTATTCCTCCGTACACTAACAACAATAATCAGTTGTTCTGGCTTATCATAGCATTCGGTCTATTAGATTAATGGTTTATTGACAATATAATGTTCAATGGCCAATGGATAGGCCTATGCGAAGATCAAGTGAGAGAGCCAAACATAGTTAATTTTCAGTTAAATATAGTATGTGGACTGCAATTGTTTTCCCAAACTGTTTTTATAAAAAAAATGTAGTAAGCTTTTTTATTATATCACAAGACTTTTAAACAAAGATTTGTTTTTATATGAGCTAAAGTCAGTAATGCTAATATAAAAGCCAAAATTAATTTGCTGTTCACACTAAACTAGTTAGGATTTATAATGATAAATGAATGTCTTGTATTCATACTTGACGTATTTCCGAGCGGAAAGAAATGACTAGGAATCCCTCTTTGACGTATAAAATATAAGGACAGTTCACAATGTTGAATCACATCTCTTAATTATTTTTCTGCGTAAAATCCAACACGATTTCGGTGTCTAAAAAATAAAGTTAACGTTGGATTAAACAAATTCATAAAGAAAACCCTATCATCTTTTCCGAGCGGTAAAGGAATGACTTGGAATCCCTCTTTGACATATAAAATATATAGACAGTTCACAATGTTGAATTACATCTCTTAAAAAAACTTTTCTTCTGCGTAAACCAACATGAATTCGGTGTCTAAACAACCAAGTTAACGTTGATTTTGAAAAAATCCAGAAAGAAAAACCTATCATCTCATACTTAAGCCTATAATTCCCGAGCATTCTACAATAATTTAAACAACAGGCTTATTGCCTCTAACCGAAAGGTCCACTGATTAATCTCAGATAAGAAAGTATAATACATACTCCAAGTATTGAAATACACGCCATCGTGTTGGGATTCAATATTTCGACATTAATTATGTCATCATCAGGAATGATGATGACATAATTAATGTCGAAATATTGAATCCCAACACGATGGCGTGTATTTCAATACTTGGAGTATGTATTATACTTTCTTATTGCCTCTAGTACTTCAGTATCTAGAACTTCTAAACCTTTCTCTTGGAATCTTATCTCAACACTAGTAAATCACAAACAACAAACATATACAAATACTGTACTTCGTTTTTGTACCACACTTTGAACTTACACTACTAACATAGCGAATTCTGCATGATCTCTTATGGTGTTCCTTTAATTACCAAAGTGGTTTACATTTTTTGTTTAATCAAATGAATGTTATTCTAGAACGTTCTACGTGTTAAATGTTTTACACTAAGGCAAGGAATTGTAATTTATTAAATTAAACAAATACGCAAAATTAGATTTTCAGATATATTTACCTTAAACTGAAGACTGTTCTCGGTAGTATGAAATACGGAAGTATGAATGAGGTATGAAACAAAAGTTACTTTTCAATAAGGTTAATGTGATTGTATTTCCAAGCTTTTTTTTATGCAAATCAAATTTATTTGATAGGGTCTCACATTTTAAATCACCAAACACAATGCCTTTAGCCTTTTTAATGCCATAAATATTTAAACGTCTTTGTCCAAACTATTGGTCGCTACCCACTTATTGCCGCCAAAATATTTTATAGCGTCGATTTATAACGGTTTAGATATTTCAATGCTTTATAGCTATTTCAATACTTTCTAAAGCTATAGCATTCTACATCTTTCTAACTTTCTAAAGTTGCCGGGTCGGACGGCATTGCATGTGATGTAATTAAAAACTGTAGTGAGATCTTAGCAATTCGTTAGATATAATTCTTCAACACCAGGGGGCAGTGGTCCAATATCTGGATGAACCTTTTATCAAATCAATCCTTATTTTGAATTGCATTTTGGAAATTATGTTGTCTATTAAAGCGTATTACCAAAGATCGATGAACTAGCAAACAACGGATAAAAAAACAATCACGACATGTTAATGATGCTTATGTCAGGAGTATATGCCTGAGTTATAAATTGCCACAGCCATTGCTAGCTCAATTAAACAAACATGTTTCGGCATGGTTTAACTGCCCCACCAATGCGGAGCCTGCACGCAGGAAATCTTATGAGAGAATATTGACACGCGGTACTCGATGTGAGTCGAACCATACCAGAAGATACAGTTGACAAAACAGTTAATTAATAAATATAAAGACAAGAACGAATAGGAAAAATAACTGATTAAAAATAACTGATTAAAAAAGTTAAATTTTCAGAGGTAACTCAGTAAACGTATTACTGAGTTACGTAAAAAGAATCGAACTTATATCCCCCGCTTCGAGTTGGGAATAAGGACACTTAACAAGGGTAGTTTTAACCCAGCTTGTTTTTCTAAATTGAAATTGATATTTAGATGACGAAGATTAAGATAATTACGCATAAATACCGTAAATGCATCTAACTTAAGAAAGTTAGAAAGATGTAGAATGCTATAGCTTTAGAAAGTATTGAAATAGCTGTAAAGCATTGAAATAGCTAAACCGTTATAAATCGACGCTATAAAATATTTTGGCGACAATAAGTGGGTAGCAACCAATAGTTTGGACAAAGACGTTTAAATATTTATGGCATTAAAAAGGCTAAAGGCATTGTGTTTGGTGATTTAAAATGTGAGACCCTATCAAATAAATTTGATTTGCAAAAAAAAAAGCTTGGAAATACAATCACATTAACCTTATTGAAAAGCAACTTTTGTTTCATACCTCATTCATACTTCCGTACTTTCATACTACCGAGAACAGTCTTCAGTTTAAGGTAAATATATCTGAAAATCTAATTTTGCGTATTTGTTTAATTTGATAAATTACAAGTTGGAGAATGATTAGCACATTTATGAAATAATTGTACACACATAATTATTTTAAACATGCAAATTACGGTTCCTGTTGTCATACAAATGGTTTTGCACAATAAGTCTGTAGGCCTATCAAGCAGCTAATAATATAAAGTGTCTAGACCCGGCCAGGTTTTAATGGTTAAAAGAATAAATTAAGCAACATTTAGTGAATTAATTACAATTAAACTCATATAAATTTAAGAAAAGTTTGTCATATAGTTTCTTGATATATACTGTAATAATATCAAAGATAATAGAAACACAAGATAGAGTTCTACACACAAAAACGTGTTCCACCAAAATGCATGGTGGGAATACAAACAATGGGACGCCCCTTACGACTGGATCTAAAAAACTTCAACCGAACTTTCGTTACCAAGTCGTCGCGTATTTTATTGTCAATTTTCAATTACAAAATTGTACACAATTGTACAATTATCACGATTGTACCCAGACAGTGACAACGGTGAATACATAATTAATTGGCGGAGGTAGAAATCGTTGCTATTATCCAAATAAAACACACAATTAAGCCTATGGATCAGTATAGAAAACAACAATATAGCGCAAAATCGTATGGCCGGACGTACTCTAGTGATAAAGTTTTCCTCCATTAGTGCAAAAAAAGGGCGCCGTGTGCGTCTGGTTATACTTAGCAACAGAAGGGCGCCCTGTACGTCGGGCACGAAGTATAGAAAACTTGCATGGTTAAAAAGAAGGGCGCCGCCTACGTCGGGCACGATTTCCGCCTCATTTTTACCATGCGAGTGCTCTATCTTGTGTTTCTAGTATCTTTGATAATAGAAAGATTAAACGAGAACTTACCTTAAGGTTGAAGTTTGATCCGTATTTCATGAAGTAATATTAGTGGTAGAGATTATGTGAGATACGAGCATGCGCATGCGCGAATCAGCTTTGAATATGCGATTGTCACAGAGGAAATTCAGAAAAACTCCACCTATATTAGGCCACTTTGGGTGGGAGTGGATGGGCAAATAATCTCTACTACTAATATTACTTCATGAAATACAGATCAAACTTCAATCTTAAGGTAAGTTCTCGTTTAATCTTTCTATTTCATCTCGTAATACGTGGTTACGAGATTACTGTGAGACCTTGAAAGCTCCTCTGTGACAGACGCACCAAAATTATATAAAACAACAGAAAGGACTGAAACCAATTTGAATGGACCTTTCCGCTAAGCCCCGCCCATTGGATATTGTTGCTAAGGTCCCACAAGACGACAATGTTAAAACATACGAGAACACGTGCGTTTGTGGGACAACACGTGTGTTTGTGAGACGCGCGCGTATTCCTAGCGTTGTTCTGATTAGTCAGTTGTTAAGTTTGATTGACACTCCGGAAAGGTCTATTAACGGCCTTTAATTCATAATATGAATATACATAACATAATCATTATAATGTGTCAACAGTAATCTTTCGCAGTCTACAAGCAGTAATATTTACATATAGGGTCCTGCCTAGCTAAGCATCCAAGATAGTTCTTTGGAATGTGTTTTTAAGTAAAATTGGTTTATTATAAAATTTTCGAAACGTCTCTTCTGTAGACCATCCAGCCATCGACATTATTTGCCCTACTGGGACGTTTTTGATATTGACTGCCGATGCGGCTGCTGTCCGTACAGAAGGTGGTTTGAATATTTGTACATCTATCCCTGATTTCGTCAACATTATTTTGACCCAACGAGCTAAAGTATCCTTCGAAACCTTTACATGGGGGTTTCCTAAAACTTATAAATAGTTGTTTTTCTTCACCTCTGACTCCTTTAGTAGCCTCAAGGTAACAAGAAAGTGTGTTGATGACACATAAATTCCGTTCCTTTTGATAAGCTTCTAATCTTAACTGATTAACATGACAGCCTGGTCGACTATGTTTCAAAAGGTCATTAATCCTAAACTCTGCATAGCTATCACAAATAAACATATTGTCGATAGTTAGTAAATGGACAGTTTGTAGCCTACTTGCTGGAACTAACGTAATCAGAGTTACTAATTTATATGTCAATTCCTTTAATGACAATGCTTCATTAGGAGGTAGAGAACGAATACATTGGAGTAGCTGACTGACATCCCAAATATTTTTATACCTTGGTATTGTCGGTCGTAAATTAATCACTCCTTTCATAAACCTCAATACATAAGGATGGGACTGGCTGTTGTCTAGTAGTGCAATGGTAGAAATCGCACTTTTGGCTGTGTTAATAGCACTGTAACCCAATCCGCTTTTAAAAAGTCCAGAAAGGAAAGATAGAATGTCCTTTATATTTGAATACACTGTACTATTTTCCTTTTACTACAAAACTGTACCCATCTACGAGTGTAGGTTCGATACTGTGCTTTAGTTGATGCTCGCCATGAAGCGAGTATAACGTAGATAGCTGATTCTGGAATTCCTTCGTTTTCAAGGGATCTCCTGATAGTCTGCAAGACAATAATTGTATTTTATGAGCCAATGGGTGTATCTTATCTGTACCCAATGTGTCACTACACCTCGGTAACAATAATGGCTCTATGATTAATAATTTCAAGATTTTCGCAAACCATGGTTTTGTTCTCCATTTTGGCACAATCATGATGCCTTCTGCCCTATTTTCTATAATCTTTTGTAGGCAATTGTCTATTATAGAGAATGGTGGAAATGCATAAAATTGACG